GTCTCAACAGTAAAGAATCTGCCTGCCATTTCAGGAGATGTGGGTTTGATCCCTGGGTCGGGAAGATCTCCTGGAGAAGGAGATAGCAACCCATTCTGTATTCTTGCCTGGGGAATCCCATGGACAGTGGTGTCTGTTGGGCTACAGATCATGGGGTTGCAAAGAATCAGATGTGACTTAGTGACTAAACAACCACAATATATTTTATCTTTAATATTGTGTGCCCAATAACATAATTGATAATTGTTCTTATGCATTTGTTTTTTAAATTTTACAGAAAATAAAAATAGTGGTTACAAGCCCAAATTACCATAATTCTGGCATTTATACCCACTGTGTGTTTTTACCTTTACTAGAGATCTTTATTTTTCACCTGACTTGGAGTTACTGTCTAGCATCCTTTAATTTCTACTTTGAAAGGACTCTTTTTAATATTTCTTGTAGGACAGATCTAGTGGTAATGGATCTCTTCATCTTTTCTTTATCTTGGAATGGCTTTATGTCTCCCTAATTTTTAAAGGACATTGTTGCCAGATATATAATTCTCAGTTGACGCTTCCCCCCGCCCCCAGCATTTTAAATGTATCTTCCTACTTACTACTGGCCTCAGGAGAGAGAAATTAGCTAATAGTCTTATATAGGGTCTCATATACCTGACTAATCTTGCTGTTTTCAATATTCTTCTATACTTTGTCTTCAAGACTTTGCTTCTTCCTTTTTGCTTAGCAGTGACCCATCAATTTCTCTTGATCCTCATGCATTTTACTATAAGCATCAAGGCAAAGACAGAGGATACCTTCTATTTTGTCTTCTTTTTTGAGAAGTGTGTTTTGTTTTACTAAAAATTCAGTTTCTTTAATACATATGATTAATTGAAAGTGAAGTCGCTCAGTTGTGTCCGACTCTTCGCCATCTCGTGGACTGTAGCCTATCAGGCTCCTCCGTCCATGGGATTTTCCATGGCAAGAATACTGGAGTGGGTTGCCAATTAGGTTATTGTGTAAGGGATAACATTCTGATAATTTGTGGCCTTTAAGGTGTACATTTGTCCCTAGCTTTAGTGGCACTTCACACATTTTGTCATGTTTTATTTTCATTTCCATTTAATTCAAAATGCTCATTTCTCTTCTGATTGCTTCTTCAAGCAATTGATTATTAAAACTGTGTTTAATTACCAGCTGTTATGGAAATGTTCTTTTATTGAAATCTAATGTAATTCAATTGTTAAAGAGAATGTGTGGTATGTGAATACTCTGTGGGCCTTCCAGATGGTGCTAGTAGTAAAGAACCTGCCTGCCAGTGCAGGAGCCGTAAGAGACGCGAGTCTGGTCCCTGGGTTGGGAAGGTCCCCTGAAAAAGGGTGTGGCAGCCCACTCCCACAGTCCTGGTGGGCTAGAGTCCACAGGGTCACACAGAGGTGGACTTTCTAATTATTGAAGCGTGTTTTCTGGTTATATTCATGCCCTTATCATTGTGAGGTAGTTTTTATTCCTTGTAATAATCTTTCCTTTGACTTCTGTTTTGTCTAATATTAATACTACCAACTGCAGATTTCTTTTTATTGGTGTTACCACGAATTATCAGTCATAGTTCCACTAGAGAAAACAATCTATAGGAGATATATATTGAGAGATTTATTACAAGAAATAGTTTGATATGATTATGACAACTAGTAAGACAATTCCAAAATTTATAGGACAGGCTTTCAGGAAGGGCAGGCAAAAAACTGTTGGCCACAGTCTGAAGCTGCAGTCCACAGGCAGAATTTCTTCTTCTTTAGGGGAGTTATAGTTCTGTTGTTAGCCCTTTGACAGTCAACTGATTGTAAACTGATCATCTTATCTACAAAATCTCTTTACAGCAATGCCTGGATTAGTGTTTGATTGAATAACTAGTGAGTATCAATCACCTAGCCAGGTTGACACATAAAATTGATCAGTACAAATGCTGTATCTTTTACTAGACCCTTACTTTAAACTTATGTCTTTATGTTAAGATGTACTTACTTAGGTAACATGTAATTTGATCTTCGTTTCCAAATCCAGTCTGTCAATATATGTCTTTTCATTGGGATCTTTAAACCCAATTTACTATAGCTACTCTTATTGTCAAGTTCAAGTGTATCTCACAATTTTCTGTTTCCCCAACTTATTTTTTGTTCCTTTTTTTCTGTTTTTCTGCATTCGATTAAATCAGTTGAAGTGTTTGTTCTTCTACATATCTGCCTTGTTGACCTGTTACAACTCTGTGTGTTTTTATTGTAATGGTTATTTTAGGTTTATAGTGTATGTCGTTAATTTATCACAGTCTGTATTTATTATATTACCACTTCATATAAAATCTTTATAAACATCTTATAAATATACTTCCATTTCTTCCCTCCTTATTATTGACATCCATCCAGTTTAGCTTACCTGTGTCACAAACCCCACACTATGTTGTTCTGTTTATTAAATCTTTTATGGGGATATAAATAATAAGAAAAAGTTACATGTATTTGTTGTTCAGTCACTAAGTCATGTCTCACTCTTTGTGACCCCATGAACTGCAGCACACCAGGCTTCCCTGTTCTTCACTATCTCCCTAAGTTTGCTCAAATTCATGTCCGTTGAGTCAGTGATACCATCCAACCATCTCATCCTCTGTCACCCCCTTCTCTGCTTGCCCTCAATCTTTCCCAGCATCAGGGTCTTTTCCAATCAGTCGACCGGAAGGTGGTCAAAGTATTGGAGTTTCAGTTTCAGCATCAGACCTTCCAGTGAGTATTCAGGGTTGATTTCCTTTAGAATCGACTGGTTTGATCTCCTTTCTGTCCAAGGGACTCTCAGCAGTCTTCTCCAACACCACAGTTCAAAAACATCAGTTGTTCAGCACTCAGCCTTCTTTATGGCCCAACTCTCACATCCATACATGACTGCTGGAAAAACCATAGCTTTGACATATATGGACATTTGTCGGTAAAGTGATGTCTCTGATTTTTAATACGCTGTTTAGATTTTTCTTCCAAAGAGCAAATGTCTTTTAATTTTGTGGCTGCAATCACCCTCTGAAGTGATCTTGGAGCCCAGGAATATGAAATCTGACACTGTTGCCACTTTCTCCTCATCTATTTGCCCTGAAGTGATGGGATCAGATGCTATGATCTTCATATTGTGAATATTGAATTTTAAGTCAGCTTATTTAGTCTCCTCTTTCACCTTCACCAAGAGGCTCTTTAGTTCCTGTTAGTTTTCTGCCATTAAAGTGGTATCATCTACATATCTGAGGTTGTTGATATTTCTCCTAGCAGTCTTGATTCCAGTTTGTAAGTCATCCAGCCCAGCATTTCTTATGATATATTCTACATATAAGTTAAATAAGCAGGGTAACAGTATACAGCCTTGACATACTCATTTTCCAATTTTGAACTAGTCTCTTGTTCCATGTCCAGTTCTATCTGTTGCTTCTTGGCCTGCACACAGGTTTCTCAGGAGGCAGGTAAGGTGGTCTGGTATTGCCATTTCTTTAAGAATATTCTACAGTATTTACCCATCTAATTATCCTATCCGTTAGTCTTCATTCTTGGTATAGACTCAGTTCCATGCACAGTTCTCTTCCTATGGCCTGAAGGATTTTATTTAACATTTCTTCTGGTGTGAGTTTGCTACTGCTGAGTAGTCATATTTTTTTGTTTTCATTTTTGAACAGTTTTGTTTACTGGATATAGAATATATTTAAATGTTGACCCTTTCTTCTCACTTGAATTGTTCCAGTTGGAAATCTGTATCATCCTCATTTTGTTCCTCTATACAATAGGTGTGTTTTTTTTTTTTTGAGAATTCTTAAGATTTTCTTTTTATTATGCTTTTGAAGAATATAAATATGATGCATTTTAGTGTTGTTTTTTTTCATGATTCTTTGTTAGTAGTTTGTTGTTGAGTTTCTTGGATTTGTGGACTAAGTGATCTTCAAATTTGGAAAATTTTATTTATTCAAATAATTTTCCTATTAGCAACTTTTTCTCCTTCTGAGATTCCAATTAAATGTGTATTAAACTGACTGATATTTCCCTCATCAGCCAATTAATGGCTTCTCTGAAAAGCTTCCAACTAGTATCACACCTAGTTGAGAAAGCCTGTGGGCCCTGACAACTGGAAGAGAAAAGGAATGCCAACTCTCACCACTTTTGGTGAATACTTTTCTGAACATTCTAGGAAGATAATGGGTTGACAAAAAGAAATCAAGAGCATGAAAACTGTAAATAAAGTAGGGAAACTGTCTTTATTCCTATGTGAGAAGAATGGGTATGAAAACAATCCTAAAAATAAAAAATGAACACTTAGAACTATGAGTTTTAGCAAGGCCACGCTAAAGTGATTTAACTAGAACACAGGTGAAGCTTCCTATGAAGGCCTCAACAATCTATTGTCCTTGCTTCTGCTCAGATATATCTATTACCAGAATTTGATATTTTTTACCTCAATTCAGGATTTTATACTTTCAACCTATTGAGGCAGTCAGTAATAGCAAATAGTATTGGTTTGCATGATAATCAATGAGTAGTGTCTTATCTTAAATAACTTCTGCAACTTGCTTTGTTTGGGCTCAGCATTGACATACAATTTAGTATACATGTTGAAATTATGCAGTTTAATGACTTGGACTGTATTCATCCATGAAACTATTACTGTGATCAAGAAGAGGATCTCTGCCATAATCCTGAACTTCGCTTATGCCTTTTTGTAATCAGTCCTCCTTAAGTATCCATTCCCAGGCTAACTTTGATATTATTCTCTGTATCACTACATATTTACATACATTTTATAATTTTTAATAAGTGGGTCCTTGCAGTATATAATCTTTGTCTGGATTCTTGCCCTCAGCATGATGATTTTGAGTTCATCAGTATATTGCCTGTAGTAATAGCCTGCTCCTCTCTATTGCTGAGTAGTCGTCCGTTGTATGGATGACCACGTTTGTTTATCCATTCACCTGATGATGGCCATTTGGGTTGTTTCCAGCTTTAGGCCATTACAAATAAAGCTGCTGTGAACATTCCTCTACAAGTCTTTGTGTGGACAATACCTATGACTGCGATTGCTGGGTCATACGGTAAGTTTATGTTTAACTTTATTTAAAAAAAAAAAGCCAAATTATTTTTAAAGTGGCTGTAAAATTTTCATGTTCTACCAGCAAAGTTGTGGAGTTCCTGTTCTATTTAATAAATATTTTCCAAAGCATAGAGTAGTCACTGTTTTTAATTTTCACCATTCCAATGTGTGTATGTGTAGTGGTATCTCATTGTGGTTTTAATTGTAATTTTCATTTTAACAAGATATTTTCAAGTTTCTATTGGATGTTGGTTTTCTTTTGCACAATGTCTGTTCAGATATCTTTGCAATTTTTAAAGTGGGTTATTTGTCTTACTGAGTTGTTACAGAGTTCTTAATTTAGTATGGACAAAAGTTATTTTCTGATACATATACTATGAATATATTCTTCCAAACTAAAGCTTGCATTTTTGTTTTCAAAGCAAAAAGTTGAAGAAGTCCAGTTTATTAATTTTTTTTAATTCTGTGGTTCATGTGTTTTTGTGATCTAATAAAACTTTTCTTACCCTAATGTCACAAAGATTTTCTACTGTGCTTTTTATTTAGTACTTTTGGGTTGAGCATTTAAGTCTATGCTTGAATTAATATTTCTGTTTGGTATGAGGGTAAGGGTCAGTATTCATTTTTCACTATACAGATAGCCTGTCTTGGTGATCCAGAACCATTTGTGGAAGAATTTTCTTTTCTCATTAAATTTTCCTTGATGCGTGCTTCATTTGTTTCTGACTCTGTGTGACCCTATGGACTGTAACCTGCCAGACTCCTCTGTCCATGGCATTCTCCAGGCAAGAATACTGGAGTGGGTTGCCATACCTTCCTCCAGGGGATCTTCCTGACCCAGGGACTGAACCCACATCTTTTACATCGCCTACATTGGCAGGCAGGTTCTTTACCACTAGCGCCACCTGGGAAGCTCCTTGGTACTGCTGTCAGAAATTCAACTGGCTATATTAATTCTGGTCCTCTTATCCTTATATTTATCGTTTCACCAGTACCATGTGTCTTTATTAATGAGCTTTATAATAAGTCCTTTATTTAAAAATTTCTTTGCTTATTCTGTGTTTCTGAATTACTACAGCATATAAGAATACAGTTGATTTTAAATATTAACCTGGATCCAGTGTCTCTGTTTAGTTCAGATGATGAGAGCTCATAATTATTTTCTAGACCCTATATATATATTTTCAAGAATAAATATATCATCTTCAAATAAATTTTATTTTTTCTGATATTTGTGCCATTTTTTTTCCTTTACTTGTTTTATTGCCAAGACTAGGTCTTGAGTAAAAACAGGCATTCTTATCCTGTTCCCAATATTAGAGATAACTTTTTCTTTTTCAGTATGATATTAGCACTAGGACTGTCTTAGACACTTGTTTTCAGCTTGATGTAGTCCCGTACTGTTATTTTCTTTTTTTAAGATGCATTTGTTCAGTTTTGGCCATACTAGATCTCATTGCTGTGTGCAGGCTTGCTCTGGTTGTGGCAGGCAGGGGCTGCTCTTTGTTGCACGGCACGGGTTCTCATTGCAGTGGCTTCTCTTGTTGAAGAGCACAGGCTCTAAGTGTGTGGGCTCAGTAGCTGTGACTCATAGGCTTAGCTGCCTTGTAGCATTTGGGATCTTCCCAGAGCAGCGATTGAATGCATGTTGCCTACATTGGCAGGCAGATTCTTAACCACTGTACCACCAGGGAAGCCCAGTCTCCTACTGTTCTAAAGTCATGATCATGAGTAGTTAATGAATTTTGTCCCATTCTTTATCTGAATTTTTTAAAAATATATTTTTATTATATTAGTATAGAAATTTACATTGGTTGATTTTCTAATGTTGAACTAACCTTGCATTCCTGAGATAAACTCTACCAATTGTGATCTTTTATTCTTTTGACTTACTGTTTTATTTCATTTGTTAATATTTATATTTTTTCAACAAGAGTATTTATTTTTTTTAATGTCATTGTCATATTTATGAAATACAGTTATGTTGGCATCATAAAATGACTTGGGCAATTTTCCTTCCAACTTTATTTTCCAAAAGAGTTTCTGTAAAACTGATATTATTTCATCTTTCAGTATTTGATGGATTACTCAGGAAGCTGATCTGTTTCATTGATCTTTGTGTCAATTTTTCTACCAAAACTTCTACTGTACTGTCGCTACTGAGTACTAAGATTTAGTAGTGTGATTCTCTTTTCTTCTCTTGCAAAGTTGTCATAGCTATTCTAGGTCATTTGCTTTTCCTTATAACATTTTCAATCAGTTAAGCTGCCTTTTTTTATATTATTTGATTATTTTAAGTAATATAGTTAGAACATTTAATGCCATTTTAGTTGTATTTGATTCATTTAATTTCCTTTTTGACTGTACTTTTTATATGTTTTTGGTAGTCTAAAGACTATACAAATTTAAAATTTCATTATCTACTTAAGAGTTGATATTACACCAATTCACAAAAATGTAGAAACCTTACAATGCTTGAAATCCCTTATCTGGCTACCATCTCACTGCTATTTATTTTATAATCATATTTATTACTTATTGGTACACTGAAAGGGCTTCCTTTGTGTCTCAGATGGCAAAGAATCCACCTGCAATGCTGGAGACCTCGGTTTGATCCCTGGGTTGGGAAGATCCCCTGGAGAAGGGAAAGGCTATTCATTCCAGTATTTTGGCCTGGAAAATGCCGTGGACTGTATAGTCCATGGGGTCACAAAGAGTCGGACATGACTGATTGACTTTCACTTTCACTTTTCACACTGAAAAGTTCTCCAAACCCTATTGTGATTTTTGCTTTTAATAATCTTACATATTTTAAATAACTTAAGGAGAAAATAGTCTTTCATGTTTATCCAGATGTTTTCCATTGGTGATGGAGGTTTCCTCTTCCAGATGTTATGTCTGTCAGATATTATCTTTCACATAGTATCTTTCAGATATTATGTCATCTGAAAGAATTTCCTCAAGCAGTTCTTGTAGAGCAGGTATGCTAGTAGCAAATTCTCTCACCTTTTCTTTATCTAAAGATGACACTTCTCTATCTAAAGATCTCTGTTCTTCATTTTTTTGATGGATATTTCCCCTGAGTATAGAATTTTGGGTTGAAGCTTTTTTTTTCCAGTTCTTAAAAATGTTGTTCCACTGTCTTCTGACCACTGCAGACTGATTTAGAAATCTACAGTCACTTGAATTGTTGTTTCCTTGTATATAATTTGTTATTTTTGTCCAGCTGCTCTCTGGAATTTTCTTATATATTGTCAACCTTTTGAATGTGATGTTTGTAGACATTTTGAAAAGTAATATCATTTATATATATTGCTGGATTACCTATTTCTGTTTTCTTTATCAGTATTGACAGTGATACCCATATATTATGCCTATTGCTGCTGTAATATAGGTGCCTGAGGGTTTAGTGTTTTTCAATGTTTTCTCTCTGTTCTTCAGTTTATTTATTTATCTACCTTAGAATAATATTTTCTGATAGTTCAGGCATCTGTTGTCTTGAGGTTAGCATTTGTTTATCTTTTCTCTTGCTAATAGGTCACGTTTTCTTGGATTTTTGGATGTTGATTTACTTTCTGTTATCATAACTAGTGAATGCTATGTTGTGTATCCTCTGAATTCTGTTGTAATCATCTGGGAAAGATTGATGTTTTTGTTTTAGTAGGAAATCTAATTCAAATCCAATTCAGTTCTCAAAAACTTTGTTATGCTGGTTTGGGGTCTTTTCCCTGATTATATATTCAGGAGTTTGACAGCAGTTTGTATGGTTTCAGGTCTAAGTTTAGTTCTCTGACGTCTTTGTGTGTTGACTTCGGTCTATGTAGTGTACATGTGGCACAGGAATTTTGCTGAGTCTTGTACAGGCTCATATACAGAATTATGGGAACTCTTTCTTAGCATCAATTGCCTCCAGGACTTCCCCCTCACTCTGTTGTCTCTCTGGGCTTTATTCCTTGATTCCATTGACCAAAAGTATGTCACGTTTTCAGTTGAAGTTTTATCTGCCTGTACAGTAATACTTTGCAAATCAGTCAACCTTGGTGGTATGGCTGAGAGAGAAAACTAAAATAAATGAGACACTTGTCTTGGTGTGAGTGGCTTCTCTTAACTACCTCTACAAATTTACCTAAAGTCTTTGCTTTTTAGAGACCCTCAGGTAGTTATTTCATTTTTAGTTCTAGTTTTAGTCATAACCATTGGGCTGAAAGGACACTAGCCCATTCAGCATTTGGCATTAGACCACCATCACAGCTGAACTGTAGCTCCCTGTGGGAAGAGTTGTAATTAAAAAGGTTAATTGACAAAGTGCTTTTTGGGTTTTCTGGGTCCATTTTTATAATTTTACGTGCAAGATATTTGTCCATTTTCTTTGAATGGTCAAATCTATTCCACGAACTTACCAGTATTATCTTATTTTACTGCTGATGTCATAGAATCTGTAATGATATTTCTTCCATCATTCTGGTGTTACTCATTTATCTTGACTAATTTGTTCCTGCTTTTACAAGCTCAGTTGGAAATTTATGAATTTTATTAGTATCTTCAAAGAGCCAGCTTTTAGTTTATTGAATTTTTTATTTGTCTGATTTCTTTCTTATACCTGATCTTTAACATTTTATAAATTTTATTTTTGCTTTCTTTCTCATCTGAAACAATGTGCTCCACTTTCTTTAGTTTAAGAGAACAGCATACTACTACATTGATTTTATGTTTTTTTCTTTTCTTATATAAGTATTTAAGGCTATATGTTTTTCCCTGCCCTTGTTTTACCTTCATCCCACTATTTAAGTTTTTCACTCATTACAAAATATTTTCTAACTTTCTTTGTAATTTTATTTGTCCCAGGCCTCTTTTTGTAGTATCCTGTTTAATTCTCATATAATTGATCATTTCCAGTGTATCTTTGTAGTGTTGATTTCTAACTATTTTTTTTTCCAAATTAGAAAACAT